CTACGCGCTGATGTGCCACGCGCGCAGTTTGCCAAGCTTGCTCGGAATTGTGTGGTGACTTATTGATTTGCATCCTGTTCATTCTTGGCCTGGAACCAATGCTGTCATGATATGGGACAGTTTTCGAAGTATCTTTCTGCTCTGAAGGCGGAGATGGTGTAATGGCAAGTGGCACGCTTACCACGCGCTCGGTTGAGTGTCAAATCCCGGATCGGCTCTCGCCCAGACGAACCCCATCCCATGAAATGGGTCCCTGCGATTCTGAATGGTAGTAGAATGCATGCCTTATCCCGAAAAGGGGTTGATCAACGGTGATAACTTTTTTTGTCATTTTGCTCCAATTGTTCCGTAAATTCCGCTACCCTTTTTTAAGAACACTGAGACCGAGATGCAGTCACACTGGGCACGAACAAAAGATATGATGGCCGCCGGCGAACGCCTCATTGAAAACGGGCAGTCGCGGGAAGATATCCAGGTGAGGGTTTCAGGGCAACTTTTCACTTAACGTTTCACTCGACTTTTTTTTATTTTTTTATCGAGTCTCATTGTCAGTCGTGGCTTCGGTTTGCTTGAGGCATTGTCGAAGGAGTAAGCGTTTCCGGGCATCAATATGCAAATGATACAAAGCACGTGTTCCAGCGGCGTATTCAAGCGATGCAGCAGGGTTGGGAACGTCTTCGAGCCGCCCATCAAGCTCTTGGTCAGTGGTTGAACGAGGCAAAACAGGCCCAACAGTACTTCCAGGTATATTTGATCCCTAATTTTGCTATGACCTGGCAGAATTGTGTGCATCTTTTCCCTATTCCTCTTTATTTAGGACGCAAACGAAGCAGAGTCCTGGATCCGTGAAAAAATGCCGTTGGTGAAAAGTGATGATTTGGGTCGTGACGAAGGAGCTGCGGAATCGTTACTGCAACGGCACGCCCGTCTAGAAGAAGAAATCCATGCATACAGGTCAGCTATTTGTTGACGAGTGTAATGAGGGAGTGATAGCTGTCAGGGACTAATTTTGCTGTGAGCATTTTCTTGCGCCAAGTTTCCAAGGCTGTGTTTATACTTCGCTACTCTCGAGATTTAGTCGCGCGATTTGGGAAAGCGATCGCTGTCAACCATGCCCTAATGCTGATTGTTTGACTACTGCCGAAAAAGTTCTATCTCGCGTTTGACTTCAGCAGTTTGGCGGCGGCTCGCGCAGTGGCGCGATTTGAGAATCGTCCCAGTCGTGAAGTGTGAACGGGCCTCATCCGTAAAATTTCAGGGCCGATATTGTTCGACTCGAAGAAATGAGCCAGCAGCTCGCCAACAGCTCTTTCCACACTGCAACAACAAGCACTCAAGAGGTTTATCTTCAACCGTTTTTAGTAAAACCAGCCCATTTGTAGTTAGAAGTAAGTTTTAGACGGAAGAGGTGTCCGTGCCTCAGATTGAAATGCTCTACAAGTACGAAGGAAACGGTATGTCTGTGGGCAAAGGTGAAGTTCTTGCTTTATTGGAGCAATCGACTCCGGAATGGTGGCGCGTGCTCAAGCAGGATGGCACTGAAGGATTCGTCCCGGCCAATTACTGTAGGAAAGTGCCGGGAGAATCGGTATGTTAATGCTGACTGGGTATACTGTAGTTCGCTGCGGACGGTTGGGCGTGTCAGTGCGGCTGCGTTTGGCGCGGTGCCAAACTCGTTCTACACCAGTTGTTGAAGCGGGCAAGTGACAATACTGTATCATATCCTTCGTATTACTCGTTTTCTACCACTTTTTGTCGCATGCGCTCTTCAACAAGAAGGCAGAGAACGGCTCTGATAGGGTGACACACTCATACTGGCTGACACGCCCAACCGTCCGCAGAGAACTAGAGTGTACTTCCTTCAGTGTATTTTGGTATGTGGTGGCGGTCTGGTATCAAAACTTAAGAGCTTTCTGCCACTCTTCACATGTTTTGACTTCCTCTTGTCTTCAGTTTTGAACATACCATACCAAACATATCTCCCATGTTACTTCTGGGAACGATTCAGAGACACCCAATGGGAGTTCCGGGTGGGTGGAGCAGGAGACGACGTCATTAGCGCCCTCCTTCTTTATTACCATAACGTCATTTCCTATCTCCGTCCATCTCGCAGTCCTAGAAGGGTTTTTTTTATTTCTACTGCGACATTACTTACCGCTTATGAAGTCCTGCTATGCTTCATAGGTGACTGTCACGCAAACAACTACACTAACGAAAGCACATGCCGATGTTGTGGACGGCAAGCGTGCTATTGTTGACCGACAGAAGATGATCTCCTCGGATTACCGACAACTGAATAGTTTGGCAGAGGTCCGACGACGTCTCCTTTCCGATAATATCAAATTGATGAGGTAGGTGTTTGGTTCCCCAGTGCGTTGCGACTTTACAAAGGCGAAGGGATTTCCACAGCAACCGGATGGGCGGAGACTCACAAATATTGTTTCGTT